TCTGTAACCTACAGAGAATTTTGAACTGTACCCTTTATTTAATTTGCAGGGGTAAACTGTCGTCGTTCCACTTTCTAGGAATATTGTATAGTTCTTATTTTTATTTAGTACTGTACAGTTATTGTTCACCCTTTTTTCACTGCCCGAATCAAGGGTTGAACTCACAAACGCTATGTCACCAAATTCACAAACCAACGCTTTTCTCAAAGTAAGCCAGTGTTCTAAAGTGACGAGAACAGAATGTTGCGTATTGAAAAAACTGAAAACAATTAGAATTTTAGGAATTTGAAAAAAATGGCAAGATTGTAACAAGAATAAATGACTTTACCAATGTCACAAAAATGGATTTAGAGATTTGACAAAAAAATCAAATGTTTATTGAACGTCAAATGAATATTTGCAGCTTGTATGACAAATGCTAATAAAGTGAGACGATACAGAATACTAATACCTTAGCTAAAGATAAGAAAACAACCAAAATTACCACCTTTAAATAAACATCACATAGATAAATGTGTAAATTGAGCAAAGTACATAAAAACTGATTTCTCAAGTGTATTTGTTATTGATTAAACGAGAAATACACTAGACGGACCTGATATCTAAGCGTGAAGTTGGATCTTTCATAGTAACAGTCAATCAACATGGCGCACAAGACAATTGTAGGCGGTGTAATATTTGCGGCCATTATTGTAGACTGTAAAATTATAAATTCCTACAAAGTTGCCAAGAAAAAATGCAAATAATCATTGTAAATTCCTGGACGAGTTATTTTTTTTTTTTAGGGATACAGATACACAACCAAGAGGTGTTAAACTATAACGTATATTCATACAGAAAATCCTACTCCATGTAAAGCTGAACATTGCCTACCTTGCCAAAAAAAAAAGAAACTTTTCAAAAACACGCACTAATAGAATGGCTTTCAGCTTCTGATATTAATCCAGTAGAAAACTTATGATTCAAATTTTAAAAAACGATATATAAGAGAATGGATTTAGCGAAGGGATTTAGAAAACAATGACAAGTCTTGCAAGTAATGTTAAAATTAAACCAGTGAAGTTAACAGAATAAATGCATAAAAGACTGACAAAGATAAACGATGAAGATTATGATCCTGTATTAACATATAAACTAATCAAATAATAATTTATTCAGTAATATTTAATATTGTGTTAACTATTTATATTCCATTGATAGTTTCTTTGCATGATAAAAACTAGTACCCAAGCGAAATTATCATTAACTAGAAATAGCCGTGAAAATTTCACAGTTTTCCTATTTTAAATTTCTGATGAATCTTAATTCTTAAGTCAATGAGCGAATAAGTTCATAGCGAGATCCACAAGGAAATATCCGTATGAATTCGCCTATCGCACCATTAAATATTTGATCCTAACTATTTTAACAACATAAAAATCATAAATATGTATGCAGGTCGTTTTTTTTTTTTTTTTTCAAGAAGGGGGTACAAATAAAAAAATTAGAAATTGACAACTTTTCATTTCACAAAAACAGAGATTAAACGCTTCTGTCTTCTCTTCTTTCTTTCTTTCTTTCTTTTTCTCACTGAAACCAAGTAACGTGTCTGATATGTACTTTCCGTCTTTTCACGTGATCAAAACGGAATAGTCCATTATTTATGAGGTATTGACAGGAGATGTTAAACAATTTTATCTTCCCTTCTTTTTTTTTTTTTTCTTTCATTCATTTTCTCACTGAAACCAAGTAACGTCCCCGTACTTTCCATCTTTCCACGCGATCAAAATGGAATTGCCCATTATTTATGAGGAGACGCTAAACACTTCTATCTACACTTCTTTATTTCTTTCTTTCTTTTTTCTCATTGAAACCAAGTAGCGTCTCTGATATGTCTTTTCTGTCTTTACACGTGAAATATCTACAGGCTGTAACGATCGTGCTAACGAAATGGAAAAGTAGACTTATAATAAGACATTTTAATGAGGATATATATTGTAAGATAATACTCATACGATATATTATTTATATGAATATATTTATAACCTGAAAACGTTACCAATACGAGTTGGTAAATAACAACCAAACATACAAATTAAAAGTTAGAGACATAAAAATTTAGGAAGTACAAAATGTAAATATCTTTTTCTTCTATTTGACCTATCCGTTCCGAAGTTTGGCGAACATTTTCCTGTCTTTTTTAGCTCTTAACATATATTGTCTTTTTGTTGTCTCTCCTAAACCTTGTTCCGCCATCCATTTTTTCAAGATCGCTCGATAGATTAAGCGTTGTTTCCTTTGTTTTACCAGCCCTCTTTCAGTCAATCTGTCCTTTGAGTATCAAATTTTACAAACCCAATCAACTTATTATGTGTCCTACAAATGCCAACCGTCGATATTAAGTATAAATGTCATTTTTTGTTTCAATTTACCTTAAAACTTTGTCGTTCCTCACATGTTCGGTCCATAGTATTCTCAGTATCCTTCTGTAGAACTACGCTTCTGTCGCTTCAAGTCACTTCTTTATCTCTGAGGACATTCCCAGCATTCACTGCCATATTTAGAGGACTGATATGATGCAACAATTCAGTACGCTTTTCTTTGTTTCTAACATTTTTCTGTTTCTTAATACTTTGCTTAGCTTTTGAAAGGCATCTTTCGCTATCCCAGCGGGCGTTCGGATTTCAGTGTTAGACTTTCCTTTCCCTGTTTAAACACTTCCCAGATAATTTAAATTGTTTAACTTGTTTGATTTTCGTATCTCCAATTTGTAGTCTACATGTTGTGCTGTTCCTTTTGCATACATTCTGTCTTACAATTTGTATTTACTTCTTTCCCAAGTGGTTAGTTCTTTCTTTTTTCGTATATCATTGGATATAAATTCCACTCGCGTAGCTTCTGTCCACAAACAGCTGTTTTATGGACCCGACTCCCAAGAACGATTCACCGATCATTACAATCATAATCTTTTTTAGTTTAGGATTAATTGTTATCATCCCTACATATCCTCATAAACTGTGTTTATTCGCTAATCCTCTACCTTGGGTGCCTCTTGGCCTTGTACAGGATGAGAGCTATGGTATATATATATATATATATATATATATATATATATATATATATATATCTTCTGAAAGCATATTCTGTAATTGTACTAATTTCCACGTATAGACAATGTTGAGATGTCCGAAGGAAGCTTAAGTTGGGAAACTGACAGTCAACATAAAGTGTCGATTCTGATATATATATATATATATATATATATATATATATATATATATATATACAGTGTAACCCGGATATAAGAGACCCGGATATAGGAGAAACCCGGATATAAGAGAGATTTTCTCTGGTCCCAAATTAGAGCCTGTGTTAATGTATATAAAATAGACCAAACCCGGATATAAGAGAAACCCGGATATAAGAGACTTCTCCGGTCCCGACAACTCTCTTATATACTGGTTACACTGTGTATATATATATATATATATATATATATATATATATATATATTATAATTTTTTCTTATAGACAAAAACATTTACTCACTACAAAGATGCAACTTCGTTTCAGTGCATTTCAATTGCACCTCGACTGGTCAGAACAAAAATTGGTTATGAACAATTCTGCTTGTAAGTAGACTGTTTCACTCCGTCACCTTTTTGCTCTATGTGTATTTTTCTCAAACAAATGGAAAAAAAGGAATGACGTTTCGCATACGGCCTGCTTACAAGCAGAATTGTTCATAACCACAGAGGGGGAGAATAAATAGAGGGGGATAAATTTAGGAGGGTGATAAATACAGGAGGGTAATAAATAGAGGAGCTGAATTGGACATGACATAAAAAAAAAATAACCATTTTTTTAATTTGCAACTTTTGTCTTACCAGTTAAACTAAGAAGGCTAACTGACAAAAGTCATCCAAATCTAACCAAACAGCGATTTGCAACTTCTTTGAACCTCAATTAACAAACACTAATACACTAATAAAATTAGATATAATAGTACTAATCCAATAATAGCATTAGATATAATAGTACTCGAATTTCTCAGCCGAATTGCTATCAATTATTACTCAATTTAAGCATTTCTTTTATTTCCATTTCTGCTGCTTTTTATTGCATCCCTAAAAAAATCGTCATTCTACGACTCTTAGTCTTTAGTGCTGCTAGGGATAATTGATTATCTCCATTAGTCCTCATTTTGGAGCATTTCAACGATTTCCTTACTTTTACTCCTCTTCAGTCAAAGAAAGTATCAGTAATGGCGAAAATGTTTTCTACTTCTGAACGTCAACAAAGAATCTATATCAGATGACGTAATTATAGAATATCCACTAACAAACAGGATACATCATCTTAGATGAGGCTAAAATAGACTTTCCACTTCAGAGAAGCCAGGTGCATCAGCGTCTCGAAATGAGAGATTACCTCCTAGCCACCGCGTGCACATCCGCGCTTCAATCGATGTCCGTGGCTGCTGTCTGACAGGTAAACACGTGCTCGACCTAGCTGCGTGCTGGGTGTGCACGCGCGGGAAAAACTGACAGGTAGATATATAAACAGCTACCATAGAAGGGAAGAATATCTTAATCCACACGAGAATGAAAGATCCATAATTGGAGAGTACTCAAAGACAGACGCATACTGACTAGCGATAAAGTGACAAAGTCCGGAGTTGAATAAACATTAATGTATCTTATCAGAGATTAACTCACGTTTTTCATAAGTAATGTACAACGTTTTACAAAACCAATGTGTTCTTCGGTGGGCAGTTGTATAAATATGTCAGAAAATGTCGCCTTGTGTAGTGAGTAATGGAAGAGAATATAAATTTGTTATAAGCAAACAAAAAAAAATCAGGCATTTATAAAATACGATATGAACAATAACTGTTATCGTTTATAATTTATATAGGCTGTTTTTCTAACATTGGATCTGATAAGAGAGCTAGAGGAAATGATGTTTCAAAATGGCGGAAGATTCTCTAAAGATATACTCCATTGAAGGATAATTCATAATTATTCTGCCAACGAGACGCAGGTTGAAGAATATTGCAAGAGAAAGAACAAGTGATCTGATTAAATACAGATAAATAGAGGAGAGGAATAAATGAAGACAAGGATAAATAGAGGAGGGGAATAAATAGGGGAGGGGAATAAATAGAGGAGGGGAATAAATAGAGGAGTGGATAAATAGGGGAGGGGATAAATAGAGGAGGAGAATAAATAGAGTATAGGATAAAAAGAGGAGGGGAATAAATAGAGGAGGGGGATAAATAGAGGAGGGAATAAATAGAGGAGGGGAATAAATAGAGGAGGGGAATAAATAGAGGAGGAGAATAAATAGAGTAGAGGATAAAAAGAGGAGGGGAATAAACAGAAGCCGGATAAAGTGAAGGTTGGTTTAAATAGAAGAGGGATAAATTGAAGAGGGGATAAATAGAGGAATGGAATAATTAGAGGGACGATAAATTGAAAAGGGTGATAAATAGAGGAGGAGGATAATTAGAGGAGTGATAATTGAGGAGGGAAATAAAAAGAGGAGGGGGATAAATTGAGGAAGGGAAAAATAAAGGAGAGAAATAAATAGAGAAGGGGAATGATATGGGGGGGAATAAATAGAAGCGGGATAAATTAAGGAGGAGAAAAACAGAGAAGGGATAAATTGAGGAGGGGATAGGTAGAGGATGGATAAATTAAGGTGGGGTAAATAGAGGAGAGGAATAAATAGAGCCGGGATAAATTGAGGAGGGGGATAAATAGAGAAGAGGAATAAATAGAGGAGGTGAATAAACAGAGGGGGTAAATTGAGAAGTGGATAAATTGAGGAAGAATAAATAGAGGTGGAGAATAAATTGAAGCGGGATAAATTGAGTAGGGAATAAATAGAGGAAATAAACAGATTAGGGGAATAAAAAAGTGTGGTTTAAGTGGAGCCATGGAATAACACAAGTGGGGATAAAAAATAGAAATAAATTGAGGAAAGATTTGTGATTTTAATACGACACAAAAAAGCAAATGAATCATGGAAAAAATTAAATATATTCATTAGGAAGTTTTGAATAAAAAAATGGCTACAATAATATTGATGTTTTATCAATGAGTTATTGATTAGTAGGATTTTGTTTCGCGGCATATCAACCTCGACGGATTATTTAATGCCGAAATATAAATATTTTGAACGCAGTTGTGTGCCTTCAGTAATAGATAAAATATATTCTTGAGGAGGGGAGTAAAAAGAGGCAGGATAAATAGAGGAAAAGAATAAATACAGGAGGGGGATAAATTAAAGAAGGCATAAATGAAAGAGGGGAATAGAGTATGTGGATAAAATGAGGAGAGGGATAAATAGAGGATAGGGATAAATACAGGAGGGGGATAAATTGAAGAAGGCATAAATGAAGGAGGGGAATAAATAGAGTAGGTGGATAAATTGAGGAGACGGATAAATAGAGGATAGGGATAAATACAGGAGGGGGATAAATGGAAGAAGACATAAATGAAGGAGGGGAATAAATAGAGGTGGATAAATTGAAGAGACGGATAAATAGAGGAAGGATAAATACAGGAGGGGATAAATGGAAGAAGGCATAAATGAAGGGAATAAATAGAGAGGTGGATAAATTGAGGAGACGGATAAATGGAAGAGGGATAAATGATAAAAAGAAGGAATAATGAAGGAGGGAATAAATAGGTGGATAAATTGAGGAGACGGATAAATAGAGGATAGGGATAAATACAGGAGGGGGATAAATGGAAGAAGGCATAAATGAAGGAGGGGAATAAATAGAGTAGGTGGATAAATTGAGGAGACGGATAAATAGAGGATAGGGATAAATACAGGAGGGGGATAAATGGAAGAAGGCATAAATGAAGGAGGGGAATAAATAGAGTAGGTGGATAAATTGAGGAGAGGGATAAATAGAGGATAGGGATAAATACAGGAGGGGGATAAATGGAAGAAGGCATAAATGAAGGAGGGAATAAATAGAGTAGGTGGATAAATTGAGGGAGACGGATAAATAGAGGAGGGATAAATACAGGAGGGGGATAAATACATAAAGGAGGGGGGAATAAATGGAAGAAGGGATAAATGAAGGAGGGATAAATAAATAGGGATAAATACAGGGGGGATAAATAAGAAAGGCATAAAGGAGGACGGATAAATAGAGGATGGGGATAAAAACAGTAGTAGGATAAATAGAGGTGGAGAATGAATAGAAGAGGGTTGAATTGAGATAGGGACGGATAAATAGATAGGGATAAACAGGAGGGGATAAATGGAAGAGGCATAAATGAAGGGGAAAAATAGAGGTGGATAAGTTGAGGAGGGGATAAAAGAGGATAGGGATAAATACAGGAGGGGGGATAAATGGAAGGATAATGAAGGAGGGAATGAGTGGATAAATTGAGGAGGGGGATAAAATAGGGATAAATACAGGAGGGGATAAATGGAAAAGGCATAAATGAAGGAGGGGGAATAAATAGAGTAGGGGAAATTAAATAGAGGATGGGGAGAGAATAAATAGAGGTGGGAATGAATAGAAATTGAATTGGAGGGTGATAAATACAGGAGGGGTAATAAATAGAGGAGGGGATGAGGCCGGATAAGTTAGAGGAGGGATAAATAGAGGATAAGTGATGGATAATTGAGGGGGAATAAATAGTGGCGATATAAATTGTATCCGGGAGTAAATAGAGGAGGGAAATAAATAGAGGGAGAGAATAAATAGAGGGGAATAAATTGAGGAGGGTGATAAATACAGGAGGGTAATAAATAGAGGAGATGAATAAATAGAGGCGGGATAAATAGATGAGAGATAAATTGACGGGGAATAAATAGAGGAGGGAATAAATACAGGAAGAATAAATTGAGGTTGAGGAGGGATAAATACAGGAGGGGAATAAATAGAGGAGCTGAATAAATAGAAGAATAAATGGAAGTAAAAATAAATAGTGGAGGAAATAGATAGGATAAATAGCTAAATAGATAGATAGATAGATAGATAGATAGATAGATAGATAGATAGATAGATAGATAGATGAGGGGATAAATACAGGGGGAATAAATAGAGGATGGGATGAATTGAGGAGAGGATAAATAGACGATGGGAATAAATAGAAGATGGGGATAAATTTAAGAGGGGTATAAATAGAGGAGGAATATAAATAGAGGAAGATGATAAATAAAGGAGGAGATAAAAAAAGGAGGTGAATAAATAGAAGTAGGATAAATTGATTATGAAATATAGAAGATGGGAATAAATAGATGTATGGAGACTGTATAAATAGAGGAAGATTTTGGGACGTTAATATTACACGAAAAAGAAAATAAAAGAAGTAAAAAAATGCAATATATTCATATTACGAATTTTTGAATAAAATTATATTGATGTTTTATCAATGATTGGTTGAATTTTGTTTATCGCCATATCAACCTCTACGGTTATTTAATGCCGAAATCTGAATATTTTGAACAAAACTGTATATTGTTAAAAAAATTTTAATATAAAATGTATTGCTGGTAATTTTACCATAAAATGTATCTTTATACTTTCATAATTTTTGGCTTGGAGGGTTCAATATTTGCCCCTAGTTACGACCCTAACAGGTACTACCATTCTGGGTTTTAGTGAAGCTGGGAACAACAGCAATAAATGGCTCCACACTCCTCAAAATCTTCAATCTCCCGATCTTAGGCCTTGGTGTTGGTTGTAGTTTATCGTCATACTCAGGACTAGTTTTATTAATGAAATTGGCTTGTAAGATAAAATGGAAGAAAGTTAAGTTATATCCATACTATACTTTTTTTCAACTTACTCGGTTCAACATGAAACTTAATGGAAAATTTGTCATTTGTTAAGAGAATACAATAATAATACAATTCTAAAACGACGCATTACTTTCCAGAGATTTTTCATTGAACATTTTCAAAATTTAACAACGTATATTGAACTTAAAGCACACAGGAAAAAAAAGTTACAGCTTCAAGCGTATTTGATAGAATATCAAACGATCGCCTTTTTTTTTAATATGATTCATACAGATCTCGGGGTTTAAAAGGTGAAGTTTGAAATAGGCTGTAATCTAAATTTGACCAAATTCCGTAAAGCAAGACTAAATCCATATTACTGTAATACTAAATGAAAAATATAGGATAGTTTTAATGCTATCAGTAACATTATCTATATATAAAATCTATGACTTCCGGATGTCCGTCTGTTTTATCACACTATCTAAAATAACTATATATTCACCGAAGAAACCAAATATTTAGAAGACGTGCAAACAGATAAGGGGGTGAAAACTACTGTTCGTTTTACTAGGGTGCGTAGCTTAGTACAATAAATTTATTTTTTCTAGAACAATTAAGTTTTATAATTTAATATACAAAATAATCCCACTATTATAAAATCAATTTAATGATTAAAATAAAAAAATACTTATTTAATAAAAATGCAATACTGTTATTTGCATATCTTTCCTTTCAGTTTTTTTATATACAAGAATCTAGTTTCCAGTTCGTCCTGCGTTTGCTAGAAAGATAAACAGATCACAAGGGCAAAGGCTTGAAAAAGTTGAAATTTGGCTCCAGAAATAAATTTTTACGCCTGGCCAGTTAAATGTTGCATATTCAAGAGTAAGAAATCATAAGAATTTATTCTTCGCTGTTAAAAAGGAAAAAAAGATAAGAAATTTTCTTAAAAAAATATTGTTTACCATGCAGTCCTATAAAATTAAAGTATAGACATTTTTAAACTGCAAAGTTTTTTTCCAAACAAATCATCTTATTTAAATTTCATCGATTGGTTTTCGAAATTGAACGAAACGTAGAGTTTGTAAATCTCGACAAAAAATGTTAGTGATAACTTCAACAAAACTAAATGTTGAGGATTTCATCATGTGTCAAGGGGTTGCAAAAAATTCTAGTAATAATACAATCCTAAAAGAACGCATCATTCTGCAGGAATTTTTGCATTGTATATTTTCAAACTTTAACAACGTATACTGAACTTAAAGCACACAGTAAAAATTTCATGATTTCAAACATATTTGATGGGATATAAAACACTCAACGCGTTTGTAAAATTAGATTCATATTGATCTACTCTGTTTAATATATGTAGATGGAAATAGGCTTATTATTTGTTTCCGGTTTAGAATTGGGTTTCCGTTTCCTTCTAAAAACTTCTCATTCTCTTTCTGTTATATTCCGTGCTAAGGGAATAAACACATAACACGATGAAAGGCTTATTATACACAAGAAGTACAATAATGAAATACGGTACAGCTATACACACAGTTCAATCTCGTAGTGAGTGCCACTAAATGGAAGGTCGGACGTGCTTGCGTCGTCTCGCTTACACGCACCCCAGACAGTGGACTTTATAGATACTTACTACCTATAGTGTAACCATTCATGTTGGTGACTGGTTATTCCATTACATCACTTTCACTCCCAGTTGCAGCTGGCGTCTTAGTGGCGTTGCTGCCTTGCTTGGAGGGAATATATTTAAAAAAATTGAATAAATAAAATAATCCTGATCTATGTCTAAATTTTGGCTCAAGTACAAATCAGAGCTATGTCTACCTTTCTATTAATTCAATCTGATTTTTTTATTTATGTGACCAATATTCGACATTAAATAAAACAACAGTCATATTAACACGTCTAACTTATATAGTTTGGGCGTCTATTAAGTTCAAGTTTTTTTCTATAATGATAATGCCACTAAGACGCAAGGATTTACTTGGATTGAAAGAGAATGAGAAGACTTCAGAAGAAAGAACCGGAAATCTTAGAAAAAAACAAAGGATAATTCTATACTCCTGGTCAGAAAATCGGGGAGGAGTGTGAACCGGACGATTAGAGAGCCTATCTACTCCTAATGAAGAGGCCAAGATTATAGTCAAGTCAACCAATATCTATCCTCATAATATGCACCTTATCCCACTTCTCTATCCCTTGTGCCCTTACAACAATCTCATTCAATAACCCTCTACCTTGAGTGGATCGTGGGCCTTGTGTTGGATGAACAATAGTATATAAAAAGGAATATGTGAATGGGGAATCTACTGCTCCTAAGGAACGTTTAAGTCAAATGCTTTTCGTGACTGTTTAACGTAAAAATAACTGTACACGTCCTCCCGAATAAATTGATCACAAATATCGATCACTCCACTTGGTGAACGCCTGCATTATAACAAGGAATCTGGTGTATTATCCGCAAGTAACGAAAGGAAGATATCGAATGTTGATCTTTATTTTAAAACGTGTCTCTAAAGTCTGGACGCATAGACAAAAATGCAAGAAATAATTGTGTGGACCTTACAGACATAACCACCACGACCCTCCGATGGGTCGTGTGGGAGCCAACGTGTTAATAAAAACAGTTTGCAAAAAGAATTAGGTTTCGAGCCATTGCTCAAGTGAGTGAAAGTATCAACACTTTTAATTTAGACATTTTGAAACATTTTTCTTGTCGAAAAATAAACTATTTTATCTAGTCTTTCCTCTCAAATTTATCTAAAAACTATAAAATATGGACACAGGTAAAAATTTATCTTTTCAAGAAATTAAATTTTCGACATTTTATTGAACTGGATTAACAAATAATATCTTCAATATGATTTCCATCATTTGTGATGGAAAGGTTGATGCACTTTTCAAGATTCACGTGAACTTGATGCAATAATTCCATATTGCCTTCAATTTTAGTATATTCACTCTATGCGTTCAATCAAGAATTAGGTTTCGTGCCAATGCTCAATTGAGTAAAAGCATCAACATTTTTAATACGGAAATTTTAAAACATCTCTCTTAGCTAAAAAAAAGTTTTATCTCGTCTTTTCTCCCAAATTAATCTGAAAGCAATACAGGGTGTCCATAAATCTGGATACATAAGTAAAAATGCATATTTTCAAGAAATTAAATTTTCAACATTTTATTGAATTGGAATATTAACAAATAATATCTTCAATAGGATTTCTATCATTTGTGATGCAAAGGTTGATGCTCTTTGCAAAATTCACGTGTGTTGACCATGTTCACCATAGTCTATAAATATAGAATACAGCGCAGTACGTAATATGTTGAATGAAACAACGTTAAAGACACTCTACTAAATCTGACTATATTGCCAATACCACCAGCAGCTGTTCTGTAATTCTTCAGTCTTTGATATCAAAGGCTGGCAGTGAATATTCGGAAAAAAACATGGCCGCATTTATACACGTCGCATTGAATATTTTGAGCCTTCTGATTGGTTAACCCTTCTATTGGTGAACTATAAAATAAGTCAGCTCATTTTGGCTGACTCACTAGTACACCAGCTTACCCAAAACCTCCAACAACGTGAACTCAATGCAATAATTCCACATTGCCGTCAATTTTACAACTTTCACTCTTTATGCGTTCAATCGTGTTGCATCTGTGATTTTCATTGAGTACACCTTCTCCTTCAGCATACCCCAGATAAAAAAAAATCAATTCTTTCTTTTTTCGACAAAACCATATTTAATCTGTGGATGTAAAAATATACTTAATGATTTCACCTGTGTCAAGACTTTAGAGACACCCTGTATATATATGTTATGGTAATTTACCCACGCATGCATGGATTCACCTCCCAGCTATAAATAGGAGCAGGTAGTACCTTTTGAAGAGCGAAGTTTGCATGTATTAGTTTCAACTTTGAATTGTTTCTGTCCAAGTAAACTGATGTATGACTGTTCAAAGAAGACTGTTCATCTTGTTAGTCAAAAAGGTCATTAACAGCAGATATTAAATCATCAACTCTGCGATACCAATTACTTTTTCCTGTCCGGGAACAGATGATAGTCAAATCAGAAGAACCAGTTCAAAACCACAGTCCCGCCCAGCAGCCATTGAAATCAAAGACGTGTGTGTTCTGGAACATTGTCCGGATGAAACAAGACACCGTTATGCATTCAATTAAGTGTGTTGCACCTGTTATTTTCATTGAGTACACCTTCTCCTTTAGCATACTCCAGAAAAAAGAAGCCAATTCTTTCTTCTTTCAACAAAATCATGTTTAATCTGTGGAGGTAAAAAAATATAGTTAATGAGATTTCCTATGTGTCCAGACACTCTGTAAACAGGCACGCTTACCACCACTAGGAAAGTCATTTTTGTCTTTTGGTCTTCTATCATCCAAATATAAACCATGTAAATATCATTATTTCGGATAGTGACCAATTACGTTAAATACTTTCAAATACACCTATAAAGTAAAATAATTGTGTGTTCAGACTACCCGGATTTTAGGAGGAAAATATATGACAGTAACATTTATACAAGCAAATTCATGTATTTACATATTAAAAATCAATGTTCTTTGTAGTAGCCATAAAGATACCAATAGTTCGATGGTTTGAAATGATTTGTCGCAAGTGAGTCTACAAAGTTTCGAAGTGTTTTATTGCAAGTGAGGGAATCAAGTGGTATGGTACATCAATATGTGCGCGCATGTGTGTGTGTATATGTGTGTGTGTGTGTGTAAAGGACACACTAATGCAACGTGTGTGACTGCTGATTGATTGTGTGCGATAGCAGTACATTTAAAATACAGTGAACAAAGAGAGAGGAGACAAAACTTTCTTCCGCTATGGCGTTGTATGTAGAAAAATAATTGCTGACAGACGCGTTGTCATGTTCACGTGTGTCTATGTTGTTGATCGAGGCTGGCCTGGTTCACTGACTGTATTTCGTCGTCTGTCCTTCATTATCAGTGTCGTTACAGATCTGGTCGTTGTTATCGCTTTCGGTCGGTCAGATTCCCTATCTGATTTTTGTGCGGGAATGTACGCTGCAACCCGACGCCTGATTTATTCCCATGTCATTTGGAGTTCAGCCGCACGAACCTTAGTAGAAAGCATATTCCGAGACGTCATATCTAATCAGGTACCAGAAAGCACTTATTTAATTTGGAGTTGTTTTTGTATAGAATTGTAAAGGTTTTTCGTATGTAGTGAATTTAGTAAAATTTATATGTAGGTGTCTCTTACTTGTTTGTGCTTCACTTATTCACCGTATAATATAGGAGTTTATATCCTATATATTAAAAAAAACTAACTCTTTCCCTAACTTGTATCCTGTTTTTTTTCCGTTTTGAACTGGTTGTTTCCTTACGAGTTCTAGGTATGCAAGAGCGTCACACAGGTATTACTGTCTCGATTTCAGTAGCAAATATGGTTTACATAGTGAAATTGCTAGCACCACAAACAATTGATTTGAAAACACAGTTGTCCTCCTCCACTGCTTGTTAACAAAAGCTAGAAAGTACTTGCTGCTGAACTGTTTCGCCCAGAGCTGAGAAGGAGAGAAGGGTTCTCAAGATCATAATGCGAAGGAAAAACAAGCTATCGCGACTGGAAATCGAACTCAGCCCGTGGATTCCATTTAAGAGGTAAAAAATCTTGAAAACTTATTGTAGAGGAATGTGGGGTGAAGATGTAAAGAACATACGTGGGTTCAAATTCCCTGCTAGCCGGTCCAGCTACATGAGAAGAAGACAAAGAAAACATACAAGACCGATAATTATATACAAACAAATATATGTATTAACAACAAGTTACAAGCACATGGACAATTACATTCAGTTTGTGTGCTGAATATTATGTGTGTGTATTGTGGTGAGTGTTCGTACGTACGTGTATTGGTATTGTTCTTAGCGTGTTCTCAGAATTTTGGAAACGCTGTATTGGTGAGAGCTCACATATTGGTATTAGCTGAAATGATGAAAGAAGAGAAAAGAATTACCTCACCTCCACGCGAGGTGGATACGGTCCAAGGCCTGAGGGGAAAAGAGAGATCGAGGCAAAAGGTCACCCAGTATTTATAGCAAGGGGAGAGAGACACCTGGTGAAGAATTAAGGAACTAAGGAGGAGCTAACTCCGACATTATAATCAGTTATTTGTTTTAAAAATTTTTAACCATCCCTTAACCACATAAATAACCACATTTGAATTTGGTATAAAACAAGTTATGTAATTAATATATACTAATTCCCTTGGTATATAACAAGAGTCCCAACTCTCTACTTCACTCTATTTGGGCACCTCGAAGCGGGGTAATGGTTAGCAAGCTTGTCTCGCTAGAACTATTACGACTGAGTAGTGAGTTCAATCCTCACTGGGTGCCCCATACTTTCGGCCTTGTGCCACATCTGAGCTACGCTTGGAAAATCACTACTTCACTCTGTTGCAAGTCATTAGTATGTTACATGCTAGCAATCGGTCCTAATAATTTTCAAGGGACAAAACATAATTTTTTTATCCATTATACTAAGACTGGCTTAAACTGTCACAAGGCAAAATTTGCGGAGGGATACAAAAATTGTGTTACCCTGATCCGTCCACAGTTTCCAGCGGGGAGGGGGTACATAATTCCCAGTTTTGTCCTTTATTTATACTGGAATTATTTGCAGTACGTTGACGTGTATTGAAATCCACACAGTATTTAGTATTGTTGAAGTTATCGCTAACTTTTTTGTCGAGATTTATAAAGTCTACGTTTCGTTCAATTTTGCAAACAAATCGATGAAATTTGAATAAACTTGTTTGGAAAACTACTTTGACAAAAACTCTACTTCGCGGTTTAATAATTTTTATAATTTAACTTAATTTTATAGGATTTCATGGTAAACAATATTTTTAAGAAAATTTCTTTTTTTCTTTTTTAACAGCGAAGAATAAATTCTTAGGATTTATTACTCTTGAACATGCAATATACAACTGGCCATGCGTAAATATTTCTTTCTGGAGCTAAATTCCAAATTTTGAAGCGTTTGACCTTGGGATTTGTTTATAGTTCTCGCAAACGCAGGACGAAGTGGAAACTGGATTCTTGTATATAAAAACTTAAAGGAAATATGCAAAAAACAATATTGCATTTTTTATTAAATAAGTATTTGTTATTTTAATCATTAAATTGTTTTTTTTAATGGCGAGAGTATCTTGCATGTTAAATAATAAAACAGTTAATTTTTCCCAAAAAATGAATGAAAATTTATTGTACTAAGCTACGCAACCAAGTAAAACCAATTGTACTATGGCTATTTTAGAGGGTGTAACAGACGGACGGACTAACGAAAATCATAGAATTTTAAATAGATAGATAGATAGATAGATAGATAGATAGATGCGATTAGATTGATATATATATATATATATATATATATATATTCTAAAATATTACTTGGAAATATATGTATATATATATATATATATATATATATATATATATAGATAGATAGATAGATAGATAGATAGATACGATTAGATTGATATATATATATTCTAAAAATACTTTGATATATATATATATATATATATATATATATATATATATATATATATATATATATATATATATATATATATATATATATATATATATGTATACATAAACAGATAGATAGATGCATGCTCGAATTGAGGAATCGGAGAGTTGAGTTCGAATCCCAGTAGAATCTATTACATTCACTTGCGTGCTAGTACACTTGGGAAAGGCATGAATCTTCAGGACAGACTGGGACTGGTCTACCGCAGAAAGAAATGGCAACCTATTCAGGAAAAAAAATCTGCCTCGTCAGGCATGTATTGAAAGATACATGATCGCCTAAGCGTGTATCACGCATGGCGCGTAACTGACTGACTGACAAATAACCAACAAGATAACTACAACAAATTCAAAAGAGAACATTTCCTGTTATTTCCCAAAACCAATTCCATCACAATGTCACGTTAAAGAAATATTTCAAATTTTTTTTCCTCTGCATCTTTTCTGTTTTCGAATGAGCTGTCAGATAACGAAAATGAACCTGTTAGCAAGAGTCCATCCTCTTAACACCTTTACAAAGTGGTTTTTATCTTAATCTTTTTATTGTTGTTGTTGTCTTCTGCTACAAATTTTAATCAAGTTTATTGACCATTGAAGTACGTATATATTGGTAAATATATATATTAGTAAAGTGCTTACTTTCAGGGAAATGATGAAGTTCAGGAAAAAAAAATATGTTAAGGTTACTAATGTCTATAGTAAGAACGAAACATCAATACATCAAATTACTTTTATTACAGTACAGCCGGTGAAAGGTGTTGCGTACCTCAAAACGAAGCAGGTCAAAATCTCTCGCTAGTTTAATAACAGACGACAGTAAATGTGACACAGAAACCTGAAGCCGCATAGAAGTTGGGAAAAACATCTTCCAAAATCTACGTCAATTATCTACAGATAGAAAGCTGTCCACAGAAAGAAAGAAGAGAGCGTTGAACTGCTATGCAATTTCTAATCTCCTATAGAGCAGTGTATGTCGGACAATTTCCTCGCAGATAAAAACGTTACTTGAAGAGACAGCGAGATGTGGTTCTACGGAGGAACACTAAGAATACAACGGAGAAAACAGTTTTAGTTCAGTGATTGCTGATTTTTTTTTAAATCTAATTCGAATCCCTTTTAGAGTTGGTTGTTGCGTATCGGATATCGATTTACCATTGTAAATCTTTGCACTTTCTCAGTGTTCGATGGATTGTCCATAGATTTAGAAGTTCACAAGGAACCAATTTGCTGCGAATAACAAGATCACACTGTACGTTGTTTCATTTTATTATTAGTTATTATTGTTATTTATCATATGCCTTGTGGAACAACTTCCAAGAGGATGTTTCCCCGATCAATACAATCTTAACCTGTTCGAATCTAGGGTTAACCGTTATCTTTCCCTCCTATCCTCATAATCTGCCCCTTCTTGTAATCATCTACCTCGAGTAGCTCCCGATCCTTTTACATGATGAACGTCACCGTAAATGTTTTTTTTTTTGTTTTACGGCATATAAACCTCAATGGGGGGCACCTCAAGGTGGCGTAATGGTTAGCAAGCATGTCTCGCTAGAACAATTACAACTGAGTAGTGAGTTCGATTCTCACTGGGTGCCCCATACATCCGGCCTTGTGCCACATCTGAGCTACGCTTGGAAAATCACTATAAACCTCAATGGGTTATTTAATGCCCACAAAATTTGTATTGCTCGTAATATTTTTTTTCTTCAAAAATGTATTGCTGTTAATATTTTTTTCTTTTCAAAAATGTATTGCTGGTAATACTTTTTTTTCTTCAAAAATGTATTGCTGGTAATATTTTTTTTCTTCAAAAATGTATTGCTGTTAATATTTTTTTCTTTTCAAAAATGTATTGCTGGTAATATTTTTTCTTTTCAAAAATGTATTGCTGGTAATACTTTTTTTTCTTCAAAAATGTATTGCTGGTAATACTTTTTTTTCTTCAAAAATGTATTGCTGGTAATATTTTTTACAAAAAAGCATTTCTTGTATATATATATACAATGTAAGCAAAAAAGTTCTGTCCGTTTTTAAAGTAAAAAAAGAAAACGCTTCACAGTATATGCAACTGATATTTAGTCTTCGAAGTAATCACCATCGGGCCTCCAGCATCTTCTGCCAATGTGTCTCCAGCTGTTCAATGCCCTTACGGTAGAACTCGAGGGGTGAGGGGTTTTGACGCAAAGAAGTCCGTGAGGGCTTTGCGTAAGTCTGCTTCATTGGTGAAGGATTTCCCATGAAGATGATTATGCAGGCAGTGGTGGTAATCGGATGGCGCAAGGTCAGGTGAATAAGGTGGATGGCACAAAGTCTCCCACCCAAGTTGCTGTACGGTATCCCTGACCACTTGAGCGACATGCGGTCTGGCGTTGTCATGGAGGAAAAGCACACCTTTGCGGTTCACCAGTGCTCTGCTCCTTCTGCCTGTTGCACACGTTTCAATTGCTGCGAGTATAGGTCTCCAGTGACCGTTTGGCCCGTTGGTAGCAGTTCATAATGAACCACTAGACGACCTGTCCACCAGACACAAAGCATAATCTTGCGTGTGTGGATAGGCGGTCTTGCGGTGTGAGGGACAGCATCCTGAGGAGACAACCAATGTCTGGAACGCTTGGGAGTTTAGTATAGAACCCACTTTTCATCACTGGTAAGCACTCGATTGAATAAGGATGCGGTACGGTGGCGAAAAAGCAGCGATACGCAGGCTGCCACACGTTGCCCCTTGTGGACCCAACAGCGTTTGTGGAACCCACTTGCTCAGTTTGTACGTCTTACCTAGGCGGTGCAGGTGAAGTCTAACTGTTTCATCGGAAACGTTGAACTGTCTTGCAAGTTCACTACACGTTAGACTACTGTCCTCTTTAATGGCCGCCTTCAGGACCTGTGGTCGTCTACTGCGAGGCTCATCATGGAGAGACAAATCTCCCGACTTGAATTTTCGATACCAACGCCTTGCAGTACGTACATCCACAGCACTATCCCCAAACGCTTAACATATGCGGCGACTTGATGCAGCTGCTGATAAGCCCACTTTGAAATCGTAAAGCAAAAAGCCCCGAACGAGATCTCTAGACACTTCCATCCTTCTCACAGCTGTCCGGCTTATAACTGATGGCCGGGCACGGTGCGCGTGTTTTTTTATAACGTCTGATGTTCCTACTTCCGGCTGTCCGAATTTGAAAACAATTGCTACACGCATTTCTTATATATTTCAACTTTATTCAATGACTAATCAAAAAACGGACAGAACTTTTTTGGTTACCTTGTATTTTTACACTTTCATAGTGTTTTGACCCCAGTTGAATGGTTAAATATTTGCCATAGATGGGACCCTGACTGGTGCTACCACCCTGGGTCAGGATAAATCTGGGAACACCAGCAATTAAGAGGTGATTCCATTCTCCTCAAAACGTCCTGATCAAAGGCCTTGCTGTCGGATGTAGTTTATCGTCTTACCCGGGATGCGGATCTAGTTTATCGTCATACCAAGAACGCTTAAATTTTATAAGGTGATAGGAATTTCAGGCGATTGTTCTCATATCAAAAGCTCCCATTTGTTTATTAAATTGTGAATTGCAAGCTGTTCGGACGCACTTTTGATTAATTGAACAACCGAGTTTTCTATAAGAAAACTGAGCAAACACGTCTAAATTGGCGACAGTGTTACAAAACTTGGGTCTGATAACCTGACGGAGACCATCGCTCTTCAAGCTGGCTTTGAAATCAGAATATTCCTTCTTCCATAGTGGCTGGAACCTGAAGACAAGAGAATATGGCCTGCCTGCTATTTAGCTCAAAGCTGGTAGGAGGTGAATGCGAGTACATGAACGCGAAGGAAGCAAAACAGAATCCAGCAAGAATTGAAACCGGTATGCCGAATTCTCTTTCCACGCATATAACTGTTACACCACCCGCTCCCTTAAGAAACGCTGACATTACTTGAAAAATTTTACATTTTGTTTTTTAAAAGTATTAGTCACTTGGTATCCTCATATGCCTGTCTGTTAGGGTGGCTAGCAGACACACAATCAGATACGTATGTA